TTGTTATGGACGTTATCATTATTATTATTATTATCATCATTATTATTATTATTAGTGTTAGTCTTGTATTGTTCGTTTTGTTCATCATTTTATTCAACTTTTATTATTATTGTTTTCATTCGTTGCTTTTCGGAATTCGATTTTGGCTTGCCCGTTTAAATCATTGTTTTTTTTTCTTTAGAAACAAAATATACAATATACAGAAGGAAAATACTTCCCCCTGTTGTTCTTTGCAAAACTCGCTCGGCATACAATGTAACTTTATCCATTTGTCTTCTTGAGTTTTTTTTTTTTTTCTCTCCTTTCTTTCATGCGAATGAACAATCACTCAGTTTGCAGCGATAATACAGTCGAATAAAAGAAAAGAAAAGAGAAGGATGTGAGAAAGTTTGATTTTTTTTTTTTTTGTTGTTAAAAAAAAGAGAAAACAATATAAAACTCAAAGAAATGTAAGGGATCAAAGAAAGAAAGAAAGAAAGAAAGAAAGAAAGAAAGAAAGAAAGAAAGAAAAATACTGGAAAGAAAGAGCAAAAACAAAATTGAAACCAAAACCCCTAACTGAAGAAAGGAAAGATAAATTTAGAAAGAAAGAAAGAAAGAAAGAAAGAAAGCACAGGAAACTCCAGAAAGAAAGAATAAAAGAAAATTGTCGAAAATAGATGAGGAAAGAATAAAGAAACATAAAAAGGTGAAAAAGCAAAAATGAATGATGGAAGAGTTATGGATAAGTTTTGAAAGAAAGAGAAATGAATGACTCATGAAAGAGAGAAATGTTCTGAGAAAAAGAGGAGAGGTGAGAAAGAAAAAAAGAAATAAAGAAAGAAAGAAAGAAAGAATGAATGAATGAAAATTCGAAATAAAGAGAGGAAAGATAAATTTAAAAGGAAAGAAAGAATAAGAAAAAGTATCAAATTAAATGCAAAAAGATATCATTTTTCGTAAAGTAAACTCTTTAACAGGGAAGAAACAAATATGAATCTAAAAGAAAATAATGTGAAAGTGAACGTAATAGAACAAAGAAAACAGAAGAATTCTACTTCAGATTGGAAAAGACGAAAAGTAAAAAAAATAGGACATTATACGAAAGAATTTAAATAAATAAGACAAGAAATAAAATGTCTAACAAAAGAAAAGAATCGCTAAAATAATAGAAAGTTCAAAACAAACACCACTTGGGCGAGAGTTATTTTGTTTGCTGGGATTAAGGACAATGAAAGCCCAAAAACTACTTTTGAATTCGATAAAAGGTAAAAGAATCTCTTCTATCAAAGGCAAAACAACAGCAACAATAAAAAGCAGCAAGTATCGAAAAAAATAAGACAAATAAAAGGTATTCAATGAAACCGGAAATGTTGACAAAAATACTCCGGAAGCCATTTTGTAGGAGTTTTAAAACAAAAGGTTGTGGTAAAGGTCAATTGACGTAATGCTGTTTAAACAAAACATATTACGTTTTGGTGTGTCATTTATGATATGTAAATAAACAAGTGAGAAATCTTTACCTGCCAAAGGTGAAGATGATTTTTAAAAAAACTACACAAAAATATAAACAAAGAAAATTATTTGTTTTAATTTAGAGAAAAAAAAAAACTTATATTGAATATCTATATTTGTTAGAAAAGACCAACATCGATTTTCCGGCTCTCATTTCCGGATAACCGAGTCACTATATTTATTCAATTTAACGCTCCATTCTATCCGTTATTACTTCCTTAATCGATTATTCTCAATATTTTAACTCTCTTTTCACATTCTTATAATACTTGTAAAATAATAAATCGTAAAAAAAAGTAAAAAAAATACTTCTAAGAATTTAATATCAGGTCATCCCATAAGTTCTGTCCGAATTTTGAATAAAGAAAGCAAGTGACCAAATGTTACATTTAATTACAGATTCAATCAACAATGTATTTTCCCTGATTATCTATGACTTCCTTCCATCTGTTAACAAGCTTACTAATTCCATTACTGTAAAATTCTTTTGGCTTTGATTCGAAGAACTCACAAATGTCAGTTTTAACCTCTTCCTGTGTTACAAATGCTGTTTCTTCCAAATGATTCTGTAAGCTACGAAACAAATGGTAGTCTGAAGGAGCAAGATCGGGAGAATAAGGTGGATGAGGAATTTTCTCCCAACCAAGTTCTTCGATCTTTTGTGACGTGATTCTTGCTGTGTAGGGTCGCGCATTGTCCTGATGAAACATCACCTCTTTTCGATTCACTAGAGCAGGTATTTTTTCCTCAAAGCTTGGTTCAAACGCTCTAATTGCTGACAGTATATTTGAGCATTAATTGTTGCATTAGGTGGTAAGAATTCAAAGTGGATTATTCCTTGGCGATCCCACCAGATTGAAATCCTTTTGCCCATAAAGTTCCCTTCTCGGCTGTGGCTGGGGTCCTTCTCCTTTACCAAGCTGCTGTCTACGACGCTTAACATTTCGATAAAAGATCCATTTTTCGTCGCCAGTCGCCAGTCACAAGTCTATCCATAAGAGGTGAAACAAGTTGGTGAGAATGGAGAGAAGAGCAGATGTCAACTCGTCATTTGAAGTTGTTTTCGGACAATTCATGATGCACCCATTTTCCAAGTTTAGGAACTTTTCCAAGTTGTAGAAGATGACGATGAACAGTTGTATGGTTTGAACTGATAAAGCAGGATTTTCTTCAAGGGCTGCTTCAAGAAGCTTTTCATCAAACTCAACTGGACGTTCGGTTCGATCTTCATCTTCAAGGGTGAAATCTCCACCTCTGAATTTTGCAAACCATCTTCTGCAAGTTCTTTCATTCACACATTCCTCTCCATAAACTGAGTGAATGTTTCTAGCTTCGGCTGCTGAGTTTCCTTTCTTGAACTCATAAAGCATTATGTGGCTCAAATGATTCTTGGGTACTTCCATGTTAGCAGAGTTTTAATCAAACAAAATTTAATTTTATTGTTCTCTGAAATAAAATTTGATCAGTTATAAAAATAATGTTCAGCTCCATTAGACATTATAAAATACTCTTTAAATTTCGTTCATTTTTTTAAAAAAAAAAGGTAAAATTCGGACATAACTTATGGGATGACCTGATAGATTTATTTATATTTTTAAAACTTTGATAGATTTCTATAATTTATAAAGCATGGAATTAAGGCATGAAATAATGCCAGTCCGTTAACAATCCAAAAATCAAATAGTTTTTTTTTAGTATCCGTGTGAGTTGAAAGACTTTTCCTTTTTTGTGTATGCAAATTTTTGATACGCGAGATTATTTTAACGTTGTATAATGGTTATGTATCATTACTAATAATAGTAGTAACAGTATTAAAGTAAATATTAAAGTAGGTAAAATTTAGCTGACGATAATACAAATGATATAGTTAATATAAGGAGTACTGATAACAAACCGCCTGCGGATGACGATAAACTACATCCAGCAGCAAGGCATCTGATCGGGAGGTTTTGAGAAGCCTGTATCTACCTCTTAATTGCTATTGTTTCCAGGCCCGCCCTGGTCCGGGGTGGTAGCACCTGTTAGGGTCTCAGCTATGGGCAAGTAGTTAACCCCAAAACTGTAGTCAAAACACTATAAGAGTATAAAAATAGATTTTTATAGTAAAAATACCAACAATATATTTTGAAAAAAATATTAACTGTAATATATTTGAATCTCGACAAAAAACTCTCTTTACAAAGATATGACAATGAAAACTGATTTCTTACAAAAAGCACATATTCTATTCATACGAATCTATCCTAAAAGTCGTGTCGGCACTTAGGTTGATATGCCATAACCTAAACCCCTAATAAAATGCTATGTGACATGTGTGGTACATGCTGAGGCGATCATGTATCGAAAGATACATGACTGACAACGCAGACTTTTTCCGCAGTAAGTTGCCACTTCTTTCTGCGGTAGACTTTAGAAATCGGTCAGTCCGGCTATTCACCCTTAGCTGAGTGGGGAGAAGAAGGGGATACATAACTTTCCAAAGGGTAGTAGCGCATAAGTGAACATAATGGATTCGAATGGAATTCGAACTCGACTCTCCAATTCCTCAATCCGAGACGCTATCCATTACTCCACCGCTCCTCCGCTAAATCCTAATAACCAAAATCGAAAAGAATAATATACTTATAAGAAATGTTTATAGACTATTCAGAGTTGAACAAAGTATGTAATCGGTAGAGTTGCGAAGCGTACAAAACTTTTACCAAAGACAGAATAACTAAGATTAATTACCGAAATTTATGGCAAATAATAGGCCCAAAATGTGACCATAATAATTAAGAATTATTTCTCTTACCACTGGTTAAAACTATACTTTGATATTTATTTATTTATTTAATAATTTCAAAGGGAAAAGCTATTACAATTATTTCCTCCTTCAGTTTTACTAAGGATCGTCTGCAAGTGACACAAAATATTTCGTCCTTTTTCGATATCTCTTATTGATCAAGAAAAAAATGTAAAAATTCAAATTTCTATGTCTCTGCACAAAAATGACTTTTTTTTCTGTAGGGAAAATATATAAGGTTTGTTGCATACCTATTAATTTGGGGCCTACCGTTTATGAAATTTCCGTAAGAACATCAAAAACCACTCCGAGATTAAAAATTGAGTCCTCTTAAGGCTTAATTAATTAATCCTAAAAAAAATATTCAGATATTTAAGCTATCTGGTTCGTGAATTTGATATCAGAGTAATTGTGGAAGACAAGCTGAGCTGTACTAAACAATTGGTTTATTTATTGATTTGTTTTTTACGACTTATCAACTCTTTGTAGGTTATTTAAAGCCAAAAAATATAATTAGATTGTAAGAATTTTTTTTTCTTTTGTAATTTAATGATACAAGAATTACTAATTAACACATACCTGGATCGAGAAGAGGTGCATTAATATCTTTTCCAAGGGTATTTGCCCGTAAGTGAATATAACCAACCCAACGGGAATTAGAACTCGGTTCTCCGATTAACAATTCCAAGCTATAGACCATTACACCACCCGCACATCCAAGCTTACATCACCTTGTATTCTCAAAAGGTCACCCATCTAGGTATAGACCAGGTTCGACGTTGCTTAACTCCGGTGATCGTATGGGAGTTAGTGTTTCCTCGCGATGTGGGCGTAAGACAGTACTAAATCATATTAAGCTAAAATATTCCTCGACATCGATTGGTCAATCAAAAGAATTTACCCCTGTAGTCTAATAAAGGATTCATTTCGAAATCCCTAAAAGATACCCAGATCGCCAGATTATAAGATCTGGGGAAACAACGGAGCTGTTATCTTGAGATCGTAATATCCCATATAGATGAATAAATTATTATATTACATTTTAATACGAGACCTTGAAAATTTATCACTTTCTGTACCCTTTCATTCATTGATTTTATTGGCTCTTATAGAGCAATAAATTAAGTGAATTTCGGCTTGGCATTAAGACAAAAGTGTCGTGGGATTGTTTGATGAAAGGCGAATTGAAACGCGACGCAAAAATCCAAATGCTAAACGCCCGAGATCAAGCACTGAATATTAATCCTGTCCAGAAGATTATCTACAACTAATTGGATTCAGACATGCGAAGGTTGTGTAGCATGGAAAGGGGGAAAATGTCACCCCACATCATTAGCGCTTAAGGAAGGCTGGGACAGAAAGAATACAAAAAAAACACTTTAATAAAATAATCTCTTGTCTAAATTAGTGCCTACCTAGGAAGCATTGGCATGAATTCGACGAGAAATGCTCCCGCCACAAGACAGAAGGTGACTGAAAACTGCCAAGACCTTGTCGGATTTCAACATACGAAGAGACCACGTTCTAAAGGTCAAGAAACCAGAAAATACCCCTTATCGTTTAGTAACTGTTTCTGGTGACCAGGGTCGAAGAAAATGACCAGCTTAAAAATACACTAATCTGCGCCTTGAATTTGCCAGGATGTGAGCCTTTCAGGCCAATATTGTCCTAATGATCATTAGGGTCTGCCCCATCGAAGTCCTACATTGAGAAAATTAGAATAGAGCTTTGTATCCCATCGCTTCATAAGTCTGCGATGTTTAACACAGTAACTATTCTGAGAAGTTTGGCATTGTACGTCTTGATGTAGAACAGCCATAATGAAAGATAATGGTTGAAAGAGAACAATCTTGCAGAAAGTGTAACAATAACAACAACAGCAATGACGACAATAACTACAACAACAACGACAACGACAACAACAGCAATAATAATAATAATAATAATAATAATAATAATTATCAAAATACAAATTATCTAGAAGTACAAATCTGAAAATTATTGTGCATGAGAACATTAATATGTCCAGTTGTAGTTGGAGTCCTCGGTTTGATTGGAAAATGTTCCGATAGGCACATTCAAGGGGGTCCCTTATAGTTCATCCTTAAAGAAATGCAAACACTGTTCACAAAAGTACTGCTCACACCTTACGAAGTGCTTATCTATGCAAAATTTATGGTCTTCTGGGTTGTTTTTTTTTTTCTTCACAAAAATGCTCAGCAGAAAATCTTCTGATGCTATTTCTGACCTTAGGTCTCTTGTTGGGACCGGGAAGGAAACAGATCCGAAGGAGGCAGAGGATTAGTTCAACTATAACTGTCCTACAAAACTACAACAATTGGCCTCCAAAGATATTTGGAAACTACAGAAGACTGGATGATGGTGTGCGTCAAGGAACATGAAAGTAGTAAGCGTCTCTACTCCGTAATGAAGGAAGCCAACAAATTCAAAATGGAGTTCCAAATGGGCGTAGAGATGCAACTACAGCACAATACACCGGCTGAAACTGCAAAATACCTAAAAAAATATAGCTAAAACGAATGCAACAGACCAGTTACAGAAGCGATGGCAAGATAAACCGCTTCATGGCCAATACTCTGCCCGTACCAAACAAGCTGACGTAGACAAAACCCGTACCCATCAGTGGCTACGTAGTGCAGGGTTGAAAGCGGAAACTGAAGGTTTTATCCTTGCTGCGCAGGACCAATGCTTGCTAACTAGGAATTATCAAGCACATATACTAAAATATTGTGTCAGTCCAAAATGCAGATTCTGTGATAAATATCCAGAAACGATTGATCATCTTGTAGCAGGTTGTACGGTGTTGGCACCCACTGAATATAAAACCCGACATGACAGAGTGGGCCAATATCTGCACTGGAAAATCTGCAACTTCTACGGAAAGAAAACTGAAAGAAACTGGTATGAACACCACCCAGACCCGGTTACGGAGATAGGACCTGTTACAATTCTATGGGACTACACAATACACACTGACAGAACAATCAAGGCCAACCGCCCAGATATTGTTATTAAAGACCACAAACAAAAACGGTGCCTCCTTATTGATATGGCAGTTCCTGCCGACTGCAATGTATCTTTGAAGATATTCAAAAAGTTGTCAAAGTACAAGGACCTTGAAATAGAAATCGCGAAAATGTGGCATATGGGAACATCAACAATCCCTGTTGTAGTTGGAGCCCTAAGACTGGTTGGAAAAGATTCCAGTAGACTAATTGAAGGGATACCAGGAAGTCCATGCCTCAAGGAGATACAGAAAATTGTTCTGACAAGTACAGCCCACACCTTACGAAGGGTTTATCTATGTAATCTTTTTTTTTTTTTTTTTTTTTTTGTCAGTGGAAAGTGTCATGACGCCATTTCTAACCTTAGGTCCCTGGGCGGGACCCGGAAAGAAATGTGTAAACGCCAGAAATCAAAGAAAATAAGTAATGTTTACCTTTGATTCTTTTGTCTGCAATATATCCTCTGCGCGTTAGATTCTCCAGACCTTTTCTCCTGATTATATGTCCCAGAAATTTCAACAGTATTCTTCTGATTTTACGTATAAATATCCACTTTGTTCCTATTTACCAAAAGACTTTCTGGTTGCTCGCATATTCAGTCCGCGGTATTCTTAATATTTGTCTATTCAACCAAATCTCTGACGCTTCGACTCTCTTGATCTATGAGAAAATTGTCCAGAATTCACAACTATATAGACGGTTTGATATTATATAAAGACTTCTAAAAGAATTGTTGTATCTCTTTGCTTAGTTTATTTAATACATCTTTCACTATTCTTATAGAGCTTTGGATTTCTGTGCCACATTTTTCGTCGTCTGTTATTACACCACCCAGTCAGTTGAATTTTTGCAACTGTTTCATTTTGATGTCCCCAATACATTAATCCTACTGTGCGCTGCCTTTTTTTGCGAGCAAACGTACATTCTGTCTTCATTTAAGTGACGATATTCGATCGTCAGATTTCGATGAGAAAAGCGAAAGACATTAGGTGAATGAGAACGGAGTTCTGTTCAGACAACTGATTCAATCTAAAAAAATCTTCACTTGTATTCAGATATGACAGTGTTTTAGATTTTTAGGATGTAGATAGATTAAAAATGGAATCACTGGTTTCTATGGAATACTAATAACGTATTTCTTCGTTTTTTTTTTGTTTTGTTTTTTGTTTTGTTTTTTTGTTTGTTTGTTTTTTGTTTGTTTTTTGTTTTTTTTCATGTCGCTAGCATTGCCACAAAAGTTACATCAGGAGACATCACAGTCTAGTCTTGTCTCCTGTTAAACATTGAGGTTTCGGTGGTTGAAATAGCTATGCAACGAATTCCTCAAGTCAGGGGTCAATTACCGACGAATGTTAATTCTTTATTCCCGATTGTTCGCTTTTTACACCAACGATCGAAGCGTATCAATCGAAAAGTTGTGATAAAAACAATAAGATGGAGTAAAATTAACAATAAAATAATTATACTGATGCTGCATCATCTAAAATGCAACAGAAATAAGACGAAAGGGAAATTAACAGTTTTGGTAAATATCCTTCATTCAAAATAACAATAAGTTAAAGAAAAATTATTATTTATAAATATATAAAACTCAAAGTGCATATGTATGTATGTATTTGCTCTAAAGCCTGAAAATAAATCAAATATATAAAATTGTCTGTGTGTTTGTGAATATTACACAAAACTGACATCAATGAAATGAATGTGATTTTCCGAATACAATGGCGGTACGATGACTGACCAAAAAAAGTACCAATGTTTTTTCAAATTCGTAAAAAGTTTATTTATATACAGAAATTAATTCTTCTTTTAATTCGGACTAGCTTTAGGCCATTATCTTTTTAAAAAAACCGAAATTTAAGTTCATAAAATATTTAAATTATTTAAAATGCGTTTTTCAAGATTTTTTAGAATGTCCGTGACGGTACCGAATATAAAAAGGTAAATTGTACCGAATTAAGGTCTTAAACTACTACGTCAATGTTTAATTAAATGAAATAAATTAAGAGGGTTCCGTATTTAAATAATTAAACCCCCTTAAATGTTGGCGTTTACTTGTTTGTTACTCCCTTTTCTATGATTTTAACAACTATTAAATACGTTTTAATTAATAAATTCGCATCGATTACTTATCATTGAAAGGCATCACCAACATTTTACTAACATTGACTGTAGCATATTATAAATATAAAACTCAAAGTGGGTATGTGAGTATGTATCCCCTGGAAATCCTGAAAATTAATCAAATATATAAAAATTGATTGTGTGAGTGTGTGCGTGTCTTTCTGTCTGTGTGCGCGTGTAAATATTACGCAAAACAGTGTCATCAATCAAATATGATTTTTATTCTGGGATGTATTTGCACGCCCACTCGAACCGAATATGGCAAAAAGCATGTTTCCCCACGCCTACCTGGGATTAAAGACAAACTTTACTCAACTCCCTCGACGCTTCCCTACTGGGATGCCTCAGGCGTCGTGAATTGACTCTGAGCCACCCCCTTGCCATGCAATGAGAGAGTTGCTTGCTACCTAGAGGGAATACCCCCAAGTTCTAAGAATTTAAAAAAAAAAAGTGCGATTTTATAGAAATTTACCTGCATGCCGAGTCAAATAGAATATGGCACAAGGCCGAGTTCGCAGTTGGAATCCCACGCGTATATGAGACTCGGGACAAAAATTGATCGCTCCTTTGGTACATCTCTCTTCGGACGCCTCAGGCACCAGGGATTAACTTTGCCTCTTCCTAATTTAGTCATATTGGTAGAAATGCGTCGCCTGCGGGAAGGTTTCTCGGTGCTAGTTATAA